TTAAAGAGTTATTCCCCACCAATTTTCACTTTCTTTTAGCTTGGGAACCGGTTATAACAAGAAGTTATGCAACACGTTCTAGTCTCTGGAAAAGTGACCCAGTTCCGCAACCATTTTCTTGAAATAATATATATATATATATATATATATGCGTTTAAAAAAGGGTGATCAGTTTTAGGGTCAAAATAATGCAGAAACCATCATACTTTTGGTAAAGCCAGTTAAAGATATCTTGGCTGCTTAGAAAAATTTCACTTTCAACTGTATATCCGTGACATTTTACGGAGGTGTTGGTTATAAACAGAGTGTATTGAGGGCGGAAGAATGAAGATCTATACATAGTGCGGTTAAAATTTAATCCTCTCTCTCATTCCCTCAAATTGAATGAATGAGTTCTGGTCAAAATGCATGTATAGACTTTCCCTCTCATTGTGGAATTAAAACTGTTTTGTTGGTATTATATTGAGTTAAGGCGTGCGCGATAGACTTACCTCCACGTGGTACATCCTGAGCAACGTATACTCCTACGACAAAAAATTCAACAAACAGACAATTGACTTCTCACTTCAAACTACAATGACACTTCTGTATGTTATATTCTACCACTTCCACAGTACTCACCTCACTCTTTTCTCTGCCTTTGTCTCTCTCTCTCACACATATCTGTGAATCGCTCTCTTCTGTTCCTCCTCCCCACTTTTTGCTACATTGATGTTCCCCCTCCCTATGTGAAGCCCTAAGTCAACCACTAAAGGGCCAATGATAACTATCATAAAGACTGCTATTTGATACAAATAAAAAGTATATTAGACATGACTGTACCTCTAGTCTCTAGTTTCTGAGTATTCCTTCTTTTCAAGTAATATATACCTGCACCTATGTATCCTTTTATTCGAATAGTTAAACGAATAACAACCTTTTCAATAAAAAGAAATACAATTATCCTATTATCAGAAAGTGTCATTTAATTATATAATCTGCGTTATATTAAGGCTGCAAGGTACTGAATTTAATATGCCATTATTTAACCTACTCAAACAATAGAGGATGATTAAGGACGATCGATAAGAATTAAAAAAAACGTGGACAAGTATTCGTTACAGTTGAAGAGGCGAAAATTTGAAAATGGACAGTCAACTACCCAATTAAGCAAGCATTGTACAGCGCTATCCCAAAAATCATTTCAAGTGGGGTACTTTGATATCCTTGTATTTGGTTTAACATCTTCTAAGCCTCAATTTACTATTTATTGACCTTCAGTTAATTAATTTCAATCAGAGTAACAAAAATCAGCAATTCTTGTACTATTGTAGTGAATATTAACGTGCAATTTTCAGCAGCACTTATGAATCTTGAATTGCCTCAATCATATGATTCCTATATATCTCTTTTAAGTGGAGGCAATTTCTCTTGGAAAGTCATGCAAGAATAAGGAGAGTTAACATTGCGAGTGATTATTCACAGAAGGGAAAGCATTTTTTGGCCAAATCGGAGGAAATGTAGCTTCATAGACGATGCGATTAACCCGGACGGATTAAATAAAAGACAACTGAAACATGATTTATCAGACTACTACCACCATCACCATCATCATCAAAGTCTGCATTTAAATGTGCTTACAGTCTACCCAGGATGACAGGTTTAATCAATAATGGAGGCTACATAAATTTTATGAAAAGGGAAATTTGTGAGCTTCATAGAGCGAATCACCATCTTCTTACCAAAATGAAGTTCTTGATAGCAACTTATAAAATCTACACCAGTGCACACTTTGACAATTTCCTGATTATAATTACAAAAATGCGGCATTCTCTCAACCTCCTTCTATTTAAGTTATAAATTTTCAAATTCTTCCATTAACAATGAGGTATCTGATACTTCTGCAACTATTTACTAGACTACAATTTAAATTTATCAGCTTGAATCATTGCATGAATTATTCAGATATCACCTTAATGAATATTTTTGTAGTGCTCTTAACTACATGAATTACCTTCCCCTAGTGAAAAATAACAATACACAAGGTAATTAAGTGGTGTTAGTGACACTGAATAGACCTCCCAGAATTCGTGCCTATATATTCCGTTATTTTACTTGATTTTCTCCATTTTTTTGTGTGTGTGTCTAGAAAAGAATAATTTTCAAGTTTAAATTGTTGACCAATCAGGGAGCCATTGAATTATGCGTCATTAGTTGTACTTAGCCAATAAAGACACCGTTCTATTCGATCTAATTAGCGGCTATTATAATTTTACATAATTGATGAACTTGGCCTAACGTTTCATCTGCTAACTCTCCCCCCCTCCAATCTTTCACTAATTAATTGCATTTATTCAAAATATCCGAATACATTTAACTGCATTTACAGGTTGTATGCTCTATTGAAGTGTGCGCGCGTTTAGTATTAGCTTATTCGAGAAACAATTTAAAGGGAAAATATATACCCCACTCTAATAATCATTAAACCCCTTTAGGGAAGACAAATTTTAGGACCAGACATATTGGATCCGCCTGAAATCCAGCTATGAGGTCATGGTGTCAGTTTTGTGAACCAAATTAATACCTAGATATAATACGCAAAGACAAATCGTTCCCATCCTTTGGTTTCCAAATTGAAGTGATGATAATAATATAGGCACGGTTTAATAGTCAGGTTTTTTTGCCAACTGCTACCATTCCATTGGTCCTATTCTTCCCCCTATGACAACTTGAAGATGACTCAGTTTTACGAATGACCGCCTTTCCTCCCTCGGTAATATCACTCACGTATTCATTGCGTTTTCTTGAAGGAAAAAAGAAGCCTTTGGAATTGATTCTTTAGCGCCTTACCGGATTTAACGAAAAATTGTTCATTTCTTTCACTTCAACACAAAAAACAACAAGTACTAAAATGAATAGAAACTATCCTCCATTCAGCACTTCGTTACCTACTTTGAACTAGATCTAGAGGCACTGTCCGATACCATAAGTGGCTGGCATTCTCGAGCTGGCCAAAAAGCCAAAATACAACTTTGAAATCACACCCTCACCCTCACCCTCCCCTCCCCTACCACATTTTGACTTTCTAACAATATAAAGTAGGTAATTCGATGAGAAGCCGTGATTGCGTTAATATCCAAGTAAAATGGGCCCAAGTTAATCAGAAGAAGGTGAAATTGATAGCTTTTCTGCGTTTTGATGAGGTGCGATAATCAAAAGTGAGGGGGGGGGGAATAGGGAGGGCGCATGAAAAGCAATTACCAATAAAGGCAATTAAATGTTTAAGGAAGTAAGAACACACACACGGACGCACGCACACACGCACACACGCACACACTTGATTCAAAAGCCAATTAACCAAGTCGGGAGAAAAGTGTGGTTTAGAAAGTAAGTAAAACCTTTCAATGCTGCGGATAAAGCAGGGAGGTCTACTTCTGGCAAATCTGTCATCTTGACACTTAAGACCCGAAGGGAGAATTTGACTTTCACCTTATTAACTCATAATTAGGCCCCGTTTAATGGAGGATGAAAGTAGCGACCGATGGAAGGGGGGGGGGCATTCGTTTGAATTAACTGCTAAGGTACTCGTGGCAGCATTCCGACTGCTTATCGATTCGAGTGAGGTGACAAGTGATGTGGCGTTCTCATCTTGTGAAATCGCTTCGCCTTTACAACTGGGTGCTTTCGGCTTCTTATTACATGGATCATTGAACGCTCATGGTCTATTTCTCATACAACTTCTTCATGCATTATGATCATCACAATTAATTTTTTTCACTTTAAAGAGGTTCTTACTGCCCCCAGAATCCAGTATGCAAAGACGCTGGAGAAGATGGCGCTGTGAAACTAGTGCTTCCAGCACTTTTGGGAAACAAAGCCATGTTTATCATGATGATATTTAAAATCAAAAATAAAATTTTGCTTGATAGCAAATTGCCTTTGCGCATATATGTTTCAATTTAAAAACATCGATTAAATTAATGGACAAATGGCCTTAAAACTAGTTATTGTTGAATTAACTTAGCTTTCTTAGCTTCTTTTTATCTTTACACTTCTATTTAATAGCAATAAAAAGTTCAAAACTAAGAAAAAATTAAAATTGAATTCCCCTTTATGTCACAATTGCATCCCTTTTCAAAGCACAAACGTACAAAAAAAGTATCTTTGTAGAGGCTATTTAAACTTATTTAACATTCATGGAAGTTGTTTTCGTTTTGTTGAACAGTCTTGAATTGGAGATAATTATATTCAAAAAATACACACCCGATGGTGCGAATATGTGCATGAGGAGTGATTGTGTGACTAATTTCTTCCTCACACGCTAGTTCTATCCAATATGAAGATTTTTTAACCCAAAATGGCCTTACAAGCGTTTGAGTTATAGTAGCCAGCAACGGAAATTCATTAATCTCTGTTAGTAACAATTTACCAATCACAAATAACTAAATACTTATTATTGAAAAAAAATACACCCGCGAAAAGCAAACGGCTATATTCCATTTGAGGGATAAAGGAACAATGCTTCAAAATGAAAACACAGTAACTTTACCGAACAGAAAAAAGAGCATAAAAGTTTGAGCCAGAGATAATTAAATTACGCTATAATAAGACCCAACCCCCACCCACACCCCACCCCCTGATTTCTTAATAAAAAAAACAAAACAGGAAGATGTATGACTGGTTGAAGCTCTGACTTTATGCAATACTGCTATCTCCGTGATTAGTGATTCCCAAACTATTAAAATTTACACCATTGTGGATTCCACATTCAATCGTTCACAAAGGTTATCAGAGAAAGTGCTGATTTTTCCATATTTGCTCACTTATTAGCCTTGGATTAGGTATATTTGTAATTGTTTATTAAAAAGGTTAAAATTATAAATCGAGTCCGAATTATAGGAAACTTAATAACACGAGTATTTTCTTTTTTCAATAATGAATAAGTTTTTTTTAGAAGTTCAGCTTCAATAGTATCCTTTAAAAATAACTAAAATATTCAATTGTTGACTCTAATGCCTGATTTAATTAAACATGTAATTAATTACCTTGGGCTCGAGATGTCCAACAATTGAGAATATTGGAGCTAACTCCTCAACTTCAATGCGGCATATGTGTCGACCACCACGAAGAACTCGTTTTGTAATTGGAAGATGTTGCCGTAGTAGCGGACTCCATTTACCTCGGTATACCTTTAATCTGGGTGGGGGCAAAAGTGGGTTGACATTAATAAGACTAAAGGAGTCCAAGCCGCCGTTTGAACCACCTTCTTGTTGGGGCGCTGATAAGACCCCGACGGTTATAAGTAGTATAAAGAAGAACAAAGGTGCCGCGCCAACGCGTATCATTGCACTGATGGCGATGGGGTTTATGTGGGAGTTGAAAGCAAACCGCATATACTGACACGAACGGAGTTCAGCGAGCTTGTCTCCTATTGGCTAGAAGTGTGGACATCGCCGATTGGATGGCAGAGTTGATTAGTGCTTGTGGTTTTTTGGTTTTGTGGTTGTATTGCATTACATTTTTTTCGAGTAAGTTATTGTACTAACTACTTCTATTTCCAGTGAAACATTTTTGCCAAAAGCATATGAACATTTTTCCATGAAAATATGCGAGACCAATTACGAACTGAGAAGTATAATTATTGACCTTTGAAGAAGTTAATACCTTTGTCACCAATTCTTATATATATATATGAGATAAAAGTATTGCGTAAACCAAATGGCGTATCCTTGAGGGTAAGAGAAAGAGGGGAGGAGTAGATGCCTAGGTCTGCGTACATGTTTCTCGCCACAGTTAATTGTGATGTTAGCCTCTGCCACAAACCCTGCGCTCCGTAAAGACCTTATTTATATTAAATGGCAGGCTGTATGATAGTTATCATTAGCTCTTTAGTTGACTTCGGGTTTCACAGAGGGGAGGAACAGACAAAGCCAAAACAGGCTGAGGGGGAGGGGAGGAGAGCTGGAGAGTGATTTACATATGTAAAAGAGACAGACACAAAGGTAGAGAAAAGGTGAGATGAGTACCATGGAAGTGGTGGAATATGACATACAGTGGGGTCATGGTAGTTTGAAGTCAGAAGTCAACTGCCTGTGCATAGGCTTTTTTCTCGTATGGATATACGTTGCCCAGGGTGCATCTAGTGAAGGTAAGTTCATCATGCATCCCAATTTAAGTTTATTAAATGTCGTAGTTGACTGAGCCATTTTCTTTTCCTGAAGATCGTGTTAAACAAAGTGGGGCGTGTGTGTCAGTGCTTAAATACAAGACTGCTTCTATGGGTCATTTGGACAAGGATGTTGAGGGGTGGAGGGTGTTTTTGAAGGGGTGGGTGGGGGAAGGGGCATGAGTGCCTTAATTGACACAAGTGAATTATAAGGAAAAAAATGAGAAACGATAATCTCGTTCAGACATTAAGGGCTTCAGAAAGGAAATTTGTATCAGTAAGTTTGAACGATATTAATTGAGTTTGTTTTAATAATGCAACAAACATGTTCTAATTTTGACGTACTTTTGAGCTTCGTTCAATCGAGTATCGATTTTGTTGCCTCCCTTTTCGCGATAATTAAAAAATTACATGCTCTCTTCCTCTCTATCTTCCCTAATTTCCATTTTCTTCTCTCAATCTTCCTTTGGCGTTGCAAGCTATAATCTGATTAACTTCCTAATTTGGAAACAATGGTTGGTTGTTCACTGTGATTGTCTTACCATCGACCATACCTCCTACAACAGGATGGACTCGAGTTAGGGTTTTAGAGGCATAAGGCCGAAAAAAGTGGTGAACTAAGAGTAGTTGCAAAAGGCTCTGAATCAGCCATCAAGATCTCACTTTCATAAAATTGTACATATTTTTTTCTGATTATGCAAAGATATTAAAGTAAATCAATTTTAACAAATGGCACGTTGACAGTCAATGTAGAATTGAAGTGCCAATCGATTAGAAAACTTATTTAGTTCAAATGGCAGGCGTTTAGATAGTTATCGTCAGCATAAGGCTAACTTCGGACTTCACAGAGAGGAGGAGGAACAACAAAGTGACAAAAAGTCGAGAGGAGCAAGAGAATAATGATTCACCGATTGAAAGACACAGACTAACAAAAAGGCAGAGAAAAGGTGAGGTGAGTACTGTGGAAGTGGTGGAATATGACATGCAGTGGGGTGATGGTCGTTTAAAGTCAGAAGTCAACTGCCGAATAATGGACTTTTTTGCCGTATGCGGATGCGTTGTCCAAATAGCACCACATGGAGGTATGTCTAAAACTGATTAAAGAATGAGGCAAGAAAGGATTTTAAATCACTAAGACAAAAAGTGTGAATATTAAGAGATAACACACAGTTCAGGTTATAATAGATGACTCTCTGATATTCACTACCATATTGACAGGCAGCACATTCAGCAAGCTTTAACTTCCGGCTTCCATCAATCTTCACCACATTAAGAGGATGGGGGGGGGGGGGAAGAAGATAAGAGAGGTGTAGTTTATTGGAAGCATTCCTGGAAGCAGAAGACGACGAGGTGGCCCAAGTAATAGATAAAGTACGTTTCTAACAAGACAATGTACATAAAATTCATTTAGCACTCCAGAGCTGTCTGAGTGCTCTCGACAGGACATCACAAAGGTATGATGTCAAGGGGTGTTCGAAGGAGTGCTTGAAGTCTCGCCAGATGGTTAAAATGCTTGCACGCAACGGGGGGTCCAAGGCCACTTGTGAGGAAGAGAAAAGAGGTCATTTTTACTTTAGACAAATGCCCTCTAATCGAACCATAGAAATGAATTTGGGCAATATGATTGAAGTAAATTTTCTGGTTCCTTTTTACATTGCTACTTAAAATTTTCTTAAGTTATGTGATTTATTAAAAGCATCTTCTTTTATACGAAACGCTTATTTGCCATTATTAGGTGCACTCAAAAAATATTGCTGTGAGCCGGCTAAGAGGGGAAAATAAAGGCAAAGATTTTAGAAATGAAAAATGTGGAGGGTCAATCGGTCTCTACTCTCTCCTATCTCTCTCTCTCTCTCTCTCTCTCTCTCTCTGTTAACGTCCAATGTACCGCGGTGACATTCTAACAATGTATTGATTCTTATGATTTCAAACTTTACGAATTTGCAATGTTGACTGTAGTCACGCTAACATTGATTATTAGCAGGATGTGAAAAAAGATGACCGTGCAAAGATAATGCTGGTATTGACAGACATTTCCAGCAGTTATCGATATAATAAGAACTTGCTAGAGAAATGTGTGGGTGAGTTGATGGGGGGGGGACTTTTAAATTAGAAGTAAATGGAAATAAACGACCTTCCGTATTTGACTTCAACCAAACTCAAATTCTCAAATGTCTTAGAACGATGGCAATACAACTCTGCAACATGGTAAAAGATTAGGTATATCCCCGAAGGAGCACCTTTTGAGTTGATACGGGAGGAGGGGGGGGGGGGGGGAAAAANGTGTTTCAGAGACAGATACAAAGGTAGAAAAAAGGTAAGGTGAGTACTGTAGAAGTGGCCGACCATGACATACGGTGGGGGGGGGGGGGGAAGTTTGAAGTGAGAAGTCAACTGCCGGTTAAAAGACTTTTTTGGCGTATGAGTATACCATGAACCATTATTCAATCTAATAGACTGGCCAACAGAGTTCGCAGTTAGAATGAACGTTATTATTATTATTATTATTTCAAATGGCAGGCGTTTTGAATATTTATCATTAGCCATTTAGCTGACTTTGGGCTTAGCAAAGGGAGGAAATCAAAGTGAGAACAATTCGGGAGGGGAAACAGAAGAGTGATTCGCAGATGTAGAGGAGACAGACAGACACAAAGGCAGAGAAAAGGTGAGATGAGTACTGTGAAAGCTGTGTAATATGACATACAGTGGGGTGATGGTAGTTTGAAGTCAGAAGTCAGCTGCCGGTTAATAGACTTTTTTGCCGTATGAGAATACGTTGCCCAGGATGCACCACGTGGAGGTAAGTCTATCGCACACTGAGAAGTTCTCTACTTGAACTATCTTGCCCTACAGAATGTTCGGGTGGGCAGTTTAACTACGTACTCCACACCTTCATCAATTGAGTCAGGTGGATTTCGCAATGAATGAACACAACTTACACGGATCTGCTAACTTAAAAAAATTAGTAATTTAAATTTTGCGTCGGGAAATTTGCAAACTGTGGAATATCCAATACGATGGATGTGTTTTCCGTAGTATAATAATATAAGTCTAGTTTTTCGCAGCATCTTAATATTCAAGTGTGAATAATAACTTTTGGGTGAAAGTAGACAAAGTCAACGCTTCCAGAATTCCAATTAAGTTAAATTATTTGGCAACTCAAAGCATTTCTTCCTGGACGACGAAGGTAATCTACTCAGTAGACACCACAATTTGGGTCTTAAATTCATCTGAATAGATCGTAATAACTTATTTCTATTAATAAACTGAATCAACTATCGAGATTTCAGATGAAGACTTCTTAAACTGAATGGAAAGGTGTAGACTTTCGTGGATTTATTATTATTCATCTTTGACAACTTTACTCTCTTACTTGCTAAACAAATTTGCCACTAATCCCAGTCAAATTCGCATTTATGTTTCCATTGCAATTACCATTCAGCGTTGTCTCTGAAAAAATTTTATTCGTTATTATTATCCCCCTAACGAGAAAGCATATCATATTTCACAAATGAGATGACTGGCAAAGCTTATGCGTGGGGAGGGAGGGGGCGATGGTGGGGGTTGAGGGGGGGGGGGAGAGGGGAGGGGTCGAAGACTTCCCACTCCTCCTGGGTGGTATTGCTTTCAAGGAAAAGTCGGTGATATTTGCAGAATTTGGACACAAATGACTCAGTGTGGAGGCCAGGTATTTTACGCAGGTTGATGGATACAAATGGCATATTCTAGTACGCAGATTGGCCAACAAAGGTGTAGTTAAACGTGAGTCTTGTTTTGACGAATTATTCTACTTATTGCGTCTTGGCGACCAAGCTGTTGCCTCAGAGCTGCTGAGAGTACAGTTCCATTGTACTAGAGACATGAAGACGAATGAGTAGCCAATGAAAAGAAAGGAGGGGGGGGGGGTTCAAAATTTTCCGTATTAAAAGAAAAGGAGTATTGTGGCGTAAATTTGAGACAGAGTATATTAAAAAAGTATGCCTATTTTAGACACTTCCCTCCAACGGACAGCTCGATAAAAATTTCAAAGTAACTAATGAATTTGCGTGTGTAGGCAGTCATAGTGCTAATAGGAAATATTCAACTTATGTTTAATAATAATCGCAGAGAAACCTCGGAGAATATTCAGTAAAAGTTTCCAACACGCTGCAAATAAGTTCGGGCTATTAGTGGGTTTAGGTGGGCAACGAACCTACAGTAAACATGGGAATTTTGTCTCCCTTAATT